TTTTTCACAACAGTCCTTGTGCCTTATATTTAATTCATTCTGATGTTTGGCAGTCTCCCGTGCTCTCTCATCTTGGTTTTAAATATTATGTTTGTTTCGTGGATGATTTTTCTCGTTTTACCTGGTTATATCCCATGCGTCGTAAGTCTGAGGTTACCACTCATTTTCAGCATTTTAAATTAATGACTGAAAATTTACTTGACCGCAAAATTAAGATTTTTCAGAGTGATGGAGGGGGTGAATTTGATAATTTTACTCTAAGAAAGTTTTTTACTGATCATGGTATTATTTTTCAAAAATCATGTCCTGAAACTCCGCAGCAAAATGGGGTGGCGAGCGCAAGCACTGCCATTTACTCGAACTAGCGCGTACTATGCTCATTACCGCCAATTTGCCAGCTAAGTTTTGGGTAGACGCTGTTCTCAGTGCCACTTTTATTATTAATCGGTTACCCTCTCCTACTCTACATGGTCTGTCTCCATATGAAAAACTTTTTCATCACAAACCCGATTTATCTGGAATGCGGTCTTTTGGGTGTGCATGTTTTCCTAATTTCAATGCCTCATCATCAAACAAATTGTTACCCCGTTCTGTTCAGCGTGTTTTCTTAGGATATGTGTTTGAATATAAAAGCTACCGTTGTTTTGATCCTATTTCTGGGAAGGTCTATATTAGTAGGAATGTCCGGTTTTTGGAGAATATTTTTCCCTATTCTGGTTTAACTAGTACCACGATGTATCCGTCTAGTTTATCTACATTGCCTGCTTCCTTGGTTCCTGTTTCCACACGTGTGCCACACACCCGTATCACCCCTCTGTTACCTGCTGCTTCTAATGCAAACCATCAACCACCTGACACAAATCCATCCTCTCCCTCTATTTCTTCAAATGCCACTCCTTTTATTCAACCACCTTTTATTCAAAACAGTCCCCCCATGCCTCATGAACCTACTTCCCAGATCAGCACCTCCCAAATTCCTCACGGTACAACTGTCCAGCACAGTCCCTCCAACACGCTCCACTAGCCTTCTGTCCATGACAGCCCCCCCAACACACCTTACTCCACTCCCCTTCTGCCCATTCCAGTAACCAGCCCGAGACTTCATTCCCCCCTTTGATCGAGGACTTATCCTCCCATCATCAGTCCGCTCCATCGTTGTCTCTGGATGAAGACACTTCTCACACAATCCCGGTTATTAATGTCCATTTCATGCAAACCCGGTCCAAATCCGGCATTTTTAAACCCAAAGATATCTTTAATTTAAACGCTGTTGTTAGTATGCCTGATCCTACATGTTTTTCAGTTGCTAATAAACATCTTAAGTGGAGAGCTGCAATGGCAGATGAATTTAATGCTCTTATCTCTAATCATACATGGGATTTAGTATCGTTTGATGCTAGAAAGAATGTAGTTGGGTCCAAATGGATTTATAGAACTAAATTTTTGTCTGATGGGTCGGTGGATCGCTATAAAGCACGGTTAGTTGCTCAGAGGTTTAATCAGCAATCAGGTATTGATTTCACTGAAACTTTTAGTCCTGTTGTTAAACCTACTACTGTTCGTCTTGTTCTCACTTTAGCTGTGTCTTTTAGGTGGTCTATTCGTCAACTTGATGTCAAAAATGCCTTTTTGCATGGTAACCTTACGGAGGAAGTCTATATGCGTCAGCCTTTTGGCTTTGTTCATCCTCAGTTTCCTCGTCACCTGTGTCGGCTTCGTAAAGCCATTTATGGTCTCAAACAGGCCCCTCGTGCCTGGTTTCACCGATTTAGTAGCTTTCTTCTCTCACATGGTTTTGCCTGCAGTCGGTCTGATAATTCTCTCTTTATTTTTCGGCGTAATTCTGATATTAATTACCTGCTATTATATGTTGATGATATTATTGTCACAGGTAATTCGCCGAAATTAGTGTCTCATTTTTTGTCTCTTTTAGCTAAGTGTTTTGCGATGAAGGATTTAGGTGACTTGCATTTTTTCTTGGGAATTCATGCAGCTCGCACATCATCTAGTTTATTTCTCTCTTAGCACAAATATGTTTCTGATCTCCTTCATCGTTTTCACTTGCATACATTAAAACCGGTTCGCTCTCCTCTCCTTAATCGCACTAAACTTTCCCTTACTGATGGAGAGCTCCTTGCGGATGCCACTGAGTATCGAAGTATGGTAGGTGCCTTAGAGTATTTGACTTTGACTCGGCCAGATATTACTTTTGCTGTCCACTTGGTTTCACAATTTATGCACGCACCCCGTACTTCACATATGTTGGCTGTTAAGCGTATTTTCAGGTATCTTTAGGGCACATCCACACATGGTTTACTTCTACAGCGCTTTCTCGGCTCTCCAGAGGTTATTGCATATTCTGATGCTGATTGGGCTGGATGTCCAGACACAGGTCGGTCAACTTCGGGTTATGCTATTTTTCTTGGTCTGAAATTCATCTCTTGGCGGTCCAAAAAGCAGCCTACCGTCTCACGTTCATCTACTGAGGTTGAATATAGAGCTGTGGCTTTTACAGTTCAGGATACCTTGCACATTCGTTCGGTTCTATTTGAGTTGGGGTTTCCTGTTCGGGTGCCTACTACTTTATTTTGTGATAATGTATCTGCATCATATCTCTCTGTTAATCCCATTCAACATGCTAGGAGTAAGCATATTAATATTGATTATCATTTTGTACGTGAGCGGGTGACCCATGGTGATCTTTGTGTCAAGTATGTTCCTACACAGGCTCAGATGGCAGATATTTTTACAAAGTTTTTGTCTCCACAACGATTTGCTCTTCTACGTGACAATCTGCACATTGTCTCCCCTGCACAGTTTGAGGGGGTGTAATAACGTAGATTAGTCATTTATTTAATTATCATTAGTGTGAGACTGTTATTGTAATTATTACTCTTATTTCCTATATATATATCTGCCAGAGCTAACATTAAGAATAAGCCTGGTAATTAATTCCACAGCTTGATCATTTTGACACTCTTTAAACAAAAAATAAGACATAATGATTGGTTGAACAGGAAAAAGATCATGTCCATCCGGATGGACAAGAAGCTCCGTCCGGCCGAGGCCATCAGAGGCTCTTCCCGGTGGAATTGTTTGATGAAATTTTTTGAGCATGTTCTTCATGAAGTCTAGTTCCATACCAAATTTCAGCTAAAAACTCAACCGGGAAGGCACTCAAATGATTTTTGGAAGATGATTGCGTTTTATATGTATATAAAGTGCGCAATTAACTTCTAAAAATCATTTGACTGCTTTCCCGATTGAATTTTTAGCTGAAATTTGGTATGGATAAACTAGACTTCATGAAGAACATGCTCAAAACATTTCAGCAAAAAAATTCACTGGGAAGGGCTCCAAATGGCGACGACCGGACGGCGGGTCCTGTCCCTCCGGCTGGACATGATCATTACTCTGGGTGAACATATACTATCGTATATAGTTAAACTAACTTTTTCCTTTATTTCCAAAAGTTCTTGATTTGAAAAAACTATACAAACTCTTCGTTTCTCTCAATTAATCGCACATTCCTCACTAATTTTCATACAAAGCTCGTGTCATGATATAGGTGTTTGGAACTGATTGCGCTCCTACTTTTTTAAAAGCAAAAGGAGAATCATAATCAGTTTTCAGAATCTGGTCATCCTTAGCTTCTAAAAGAATTGATTCTAGGAGTAAAAAGAGCACCAACATCAATTCTGCACTTTTACCCAAACATTCCAGCTTCTGCTTCTACTCCCTCAAGGAGCAGAAGCAGTTTTAAGAATCAGATCCAAACACCCCTATATTGGACACATCAACTTTATATCTACAATAATTTTATGCAAGTTTATATAAAAAGGGGCGCCTTTTTTAAATTGTGAGGGGATTAGAAATTCTAGGCGTCGTTATTCTATTAAAATTAACATACAACTTTTCTCTTTTTTACTTTTGCTTCAACTTTTCTATATCTATTGTCCATGGTTCTAATCATCAAATGTAAATACTTTATGATGGAAACATTATGAGGTTAAAAATCGTGATTTTTTTTATATATGTAGTCTTACACAACACACACACAATATGTGGGGCTTAATAGGAGATTTTAAAAAATAAATGTCTAAAATAAGTTACTTTAGAATGAATTGCCTAAGGTTACAATGAGATGAAACATAGAGCGGAAAAGATCCAATGAATCATTCCAGATCAATAACCCTGCAATGATGTAGTTTAGTCTAACAGTCTTGTTGTTCTTCTTGTTACTCCATAGAGAAAATAAAAATTACGACTATAAGACACAACTTCACCAACCACTCGAAAGGGAGAATTGGGTTGACTAGCAACCGAAACTCAATTGAGCAAAAATTTTCCGGATCATCCGTTTGATCAGCCACCGAAAAGAAGATCCAGTTGAGCATTATCTTCTTCTTCGAGTGAGGTTGTCGTTCAGGAAGAGGCGATAATTACTTGGAGCTTCAGAAGAACTTGGTTGAATCTGTCTTGCCAACCATGAATTATGATCCACTCGGTCGGTTACACCGACGAGGAAGACAAAACATATAGACATTGCTAGGAGAAGGACAAAAAAGATGTCACACCAATACCAGAACCCTATAAGATAAAAATAAAAAAGAGAGAGCGACAACATAGCAAAACCTCTGATTCACTAAAGTCCAAAGAACATCGTAATCATCAAAACTTTGTCAATCTGGGAGAAGAAGCTAGAAGAGTAGATCTTCAAGGAGCTCGTCCGCCTACGGTTTCCCTGGGACCGGCTCATGTTGAGTGACGTGACTTCAGTAATCTAAAATAAGTTATCATGTCACCACATTGTAGTAACTATTAGTCATATTTGTGTAAATAAGTTTTATTTTAAAATTATTTTTGAAAAATCCCCTCATTTATTTATTTATCTTTCAAAAACTATGGAATTTAGATATTAAGCATTGGAAAGGTTTTGAAATACTATAAGAAAACTCCAAAACATAGCTCTCATATTTTAAAATTGCAAACAAATAAGAACAAATACGAAGGGTACAATCTAAGTCCAAACGTGCCCTATCAAAATCTCATGAGTCACGCAATAATTTTCAAGAATTTCAGCGTCTATGCAAAACAGAGTCAATCGAGATTTACGAATTTATTGATTTATTATTCACATGTTGTTTCTATTCTCGGTTTCTTGCCTTAAATTTATTTCTTCCCATTGTTTTACTCCACAGCTTTGACTCATTTCTTTCTTATTTTTTATAGAAAGTTTATTCGATTTATCCGACGCCATGAAATTCCGTTGAGAAAGGGATCGTCGCCATCGTCATCTTCGTCTTTTTCTTTGCTTTTCAAACCCCCTTTCTCCCCCCCCCTCTCCAGACGCAAGAGACCGCTTAGATTGATAGCGTGGCAAAAACGTAATTCCCAAACTCCTATCAATTTTTCCCCCTTTTCTTGACTCCTATCCCATGTTTCTCCCTATATATCTTCGCGTCTAAATGTGTTATCCGAAACTGCCGGTTTCACTTTCCCCGGGAAAAAAAGAAACAAATTAAAACATAAAAGGCAGTTTTGTTTCCATTGTTTTTGAAGAAAAGTCTGTCTTTGCCGCAGGTTTGTGCTATCTTTACGGGTAAATTTTAAATCTTTCGGTTAACCCGACGTGGGTTTTGACTTTATAGATCAGTAATTTTCGCCGGAATCTTGCTTTTCCGGTCACCGGGAATTCTATTCCATTGACTATGACGCCATTTTAATAATTCCATGACAGCGAGAGAAATGGAAATATTTAAAGTATCTGTTACCTAGTATTTCTATATTAATCCGTATATTATATGATAGTATTAAATACGATAGTATATAATAATACTCCGTATGTAGATATATAGATAGTTCAGTTACGGATTTCAGTATTTTTGCATAAATAAATTCATTAGTTGCGAAAAGTGAAAGTTTGTTTACTCTTTCTCTTGTATAAGGAGTTCAAGAATCTCTTCATTTTTTACCTCAAAGTTTATCTGATTTGCCTCTGAGTTTCGGTTCTGGTTTATATCATCTGTTTCTTATTTGGATCTCTTCTGTTTGGCGGATCATCGCAGAGAGAGGAAGCTCAAACCCTCTGTTTCTCTGTTATCCTTTCTGCGGTTTCTGCAATTTGCATTCATTTTCATCTGCTATGGAAAGGAGCTCAATGCAATCCAATCTTGAACGGTTTTTGAATTGCACCACCCCTGTAGTAAATTCTCAGTATTTGCCCAAGGTTTGTTTTTTGATTTTTCATTGCTTATTTTGGGTGCTGGTGATGATTGATACAGTCTAATACTCATATGTGAATTGTGAGCAGAGTGAGGTAGGGAGCCTTAATAGGCTGTGGCATCATCCAGTGGAGAGTGGGGAGGGGTTTGAATACTTCACTTTGGCTGATCTTTGGAGCTGTTATGATGAATGGAGTGTTTATGGGGTAGGTGTTCCGATTCGCTTGGACAACGGCGAAAATATTGTGCAGTATTTTATTCCTTATCTATCTGCACTTCAAATCTTCACCACCGGTGCTTCCATAAACTCTCTAAGGTGCCATTTTTGCACTCTTTGTTTGGACAGCCCTCGCTTGTTAAGACAGTCTTATTTAGGATGGAGTTCGTCTCAAATTTACTTGTAACAGAATTTTATATGTGGAGTGATGGTTACTTTTTAACTTTGATGATGATGAAATAAGTAAGTTTGGGATTACGCTGATTGTGTGCCATTTTTTAAATGTAAAATAGGGACGAAAGTGATTCGTCATGTGAAACAAGGGATTCATATAGTGATTCCTTGAGCGATGAGAGCGAGAGTGACAAGCTGTCGAGATGGGACGGAAGTTCTTCTGATGAGTATGATGGCCTCTTGCAATCAAATTCTAGATTGGGTTATTTATATTTCCAGTACTTTGAGCGATCATCTCCATATGGAAGAATTCCTCTCATGGATATGGTATGTGATTTACTGTTTCAAGCTGATCTTTTTGCCCTTTGTTTAAGATCCTCCCAGGCTCCAATTCTTTGTAGAATTCTTGCTGTCTTTAAACGCAAGATGTGCAAATTTTTATTGACTACTGAGACAAGATATAGTATATATATCCTAATCGTGTTGGGCTGTTCAAGTGCGGATAACACAATGACATCAATATGCCTCTTTCTTTAATATTTCGATGTCAGACACTTCTAAAAGCCAGTTCTAATGTTCTATGAAGTTTAAATGTCAATGTTTTCATTTTGAGATTTATAGTACATCTCATAACTCAACAAAATTTGTATTCCTTCTGTTTAGGTGATTCTCTATGCTCTTAAGAACATTGTTCTTTCTTCTTTCAGTAACAAGCTTAATATATCAGTCTACAAATTACTTGTATTGTTTTCTTACTTTTTTGTGCATTTACGTCAATCTGATATGTCTGTTTTATCTTCTTATAGATTACTAGCTTAGCTCAGAGGTTCCCTGGAATTATGACACTAAGAAGTGTTGATCTTTCACCTGCTAGTTGGATGGCAGTAGCGTGGTATACTCCGATTTCTTTAATGTAGTTAAAGAAACCATATCATGAGCATTTTAATGATGTGCTTAAAATTCATTCAAGTGTTGTAACTCTGGTTTTCACATGTTTATTATTTTCCTGCAGCAGATCATAGTTTAGTTTATACTATCTGTTATGATGCAATGTGCAATAAGTTTTGCTGACTAGTTTTACAAAAGTATTAAGCTTTAAAAACACAACTTTACCTAGATCTCCTTTTCAACCTAGTAAGTGACATGACTTGGAAAAAGTAGTTTATTCTTTGGTACATTTTTGCTCATTTGAGCTTTAGTATGCTTTGAAGCAGCATAAAGAGTGGAGGTCTTATATGAAAAGGTCAACATATAGGAGTAGGTCAATGTGGTAAATGGAATAAATGATGTCACTAATGATGCAAGGAATACTCAGGTACCCAATATATCATATTCCCATGGGAAGAACCAGCAAGGATCTGTCCACTTCCTTTCTCACATTTCACACAATTTCCTCTTCTTTTCAAGGTACCCTTTTAAATCAACTTTATCATCAAGTATTTACCATGTAACTATAACTCCATTCAACTTGTTCTTGCTGCTTTGAAATGCAGAATCAGAGCTTGATGATGAATTGAATAGTGTTAGTAGGAAGCGAAAAGGTGGGGCTGGAATCGCGGTCCCGCCATTTGGGTTGGCTTCATATAAGATGCAAGGGGATGTTTGGGTATTGGACAAAAGCGGGAAGGAGCAAGAGAGGCTGATGTCTCTTTTAAGCATTGCGGATTCTTGGCTTAAACAGTTAGGAGTCCAACATCACGATTTTAACTACTTTGTGGGTATCCGTGGCTAGCCCGATCAAGCCACTAGCACATGAGGCAAAAACTTGCTAATAGCGGCACCTTGACCATGTTTCTAATATCCCTACCACGAATTTAACCATTTTGGATTTCAGATTTGAGACTTGGGTGTTTGTCTATATACTGCGTATATATGTGGTTGAATTTGTCTCAACTGGATTAAAATATGGAACTGGGTGAGTTGGACAGAGGTTTTCTGTAATCTATAGTGATATCCTCTCTTGATTTACGTTTTTGAACTTTGGGTTCTAGTCACTTGAGTAAATCCTTACGATCTAAAACATATACTCCGTACTAAGTTTTCTCCATTTACATTGCCAAAGTTTCATTTAGGGGTGGGCCCGGCCCGGCCGGCCCGACCCGGGCCCGGCCCGGCCCGGTCACTGTTTGGCCCGGCCCGGCCCGTGGCCCGGCCCGTGGCCCGGTGGGTCCACTGGTTCAGTTTGGCCCGGCCCGGGTGCTGGGCTGTCCGGGCTCGGGCCCAGCTTTTGGTGAACCGGCTCGGTCGGTTCAGGCCCGGTCCGGGCTGGATTTTTTTTTTTTTTGAATTTTTTTTAAGTTTTAGGTTGGATTAGGTATTTTGGGCTATTTGGGATGGTTTGGGGTTGAGGGGGAGGGGTAGGGGGTTAAATAGGAGAACCAAAAACCAAAAAAAAAATATGTGGGCCGGTTGGCCCGGCCCGGTTTGGCCCGGAACCGGAACCGGCCACCGGCGGTTCGGGCTCGGGCCTAGAATTTCTGAACCGCGAACCGGCCGGGCCCGGGCCCGAACCGGCCCGAGTCCACCCATAGTTTCATTTATTTCAAATGAAATGAATATAGGAAGGAGAATATTGCGGTTCTCATTTGACCTTGATGAACAGTGATTCTCTTTTGCTCAAACTAGAGGGGTGAGGGGGAGGGGCCTTGAATTTGAGATGTTCTTGGCTGAACAGAAATTTAAATACTAGAGGGGTGAGCTAAACGTGAAAAATGAAGCTTTACGTGCAGTTTGGTTCAACCTTTTAATTACATCAAATGACTATCACTCTTATTGCAAAAATTAGTGTACAAAATTTGGGATATGGTATTTGGCATTATTATTAAGACAAAAAGAGATTATATGAAAGATATTGAACTTGTTATCTAAAAAAAGTGGAATCGCCTGATGCCCCCACGGCCCACATCCAAAAAGGGTGTAATGATATTGAATTCATCAAAGTAAGAATGGTTGTTAGCCACAAAACATGGCCAAATTTCATATGACACAAATATTTCTAGACACGCTAAAGATGAAAAACGAATGGTACCATGATTTTGTTGTTGCGATCACTGCAGTTACGAATATTGCGCCCGCTGCGATGCGTATTGATATGGCGTGAAGTAATTTTATGTTTACATTAAACCAAAAATCAAAGTTGATTTTGCATTCTTGATGTGATTGCGTTGCGGGTACAATGCGATTCTTGACTGTGAATAAAATAACAACGCAGATACGTTGTGATCAGACCATATCCTATCAAACTTCGATTGATATTGGTAAAATACACACATAACACTATAATACTAGATTATACTCCCTTCGTCCCTAAATAAACTTCAAACTTTCCTTTTTCGTATGTCCCAATTAAAACTTCCACTTTCCTTTTTTGGTCAGAATTTGTGATTCACAGCAATTCTTACACATTTCTCTCTCCTCTGCACAACTCTCCACCACACAATACTCACTATCTTAAACTGTGTGCCAAACTTATTTGGAAGATATAATAGGGACGGAGGGAGTACTAGATTTAAATAGATCCGAATAGATCATATCAATCTGAATCAATCCACACCATATCATATTCGAAAATTACAAACCAACTAGTTTTACACCCGTGCGCTGCACGGGATGTTGTATGAAAATATTATAAATTAAATATTGATATATAAACGTAGTTTTTTATCGTTATATAAACGAAGTTATAAATCAATTTTTTATCCCACGAATTAGAGAATCATAAATACTACCTCTATCTCATCAGAAGGTTCCCGTCCACTATTCACATGATCAACTTAAATCGTTTTTAATATTTTGCTTTATATATCAAATTTTTTATGAAATTTACATTTTTTTTATCAGAATTTGTAGCAGTTTTAATGTAGTTTCTGAATATGTAAATTTTATTTAATAAAAATAGTCAGAGTGTGAACATGGATTAAGTTGCTTTATCGTCAGTCAAGCATCATAAACCGTTCACGGGAACCTTTTAGCGGGACAGAGGGAGTAAACAATATGGAGTAACAAATTTTAGAAGTTGAATAAGCACACAAGTTACAAATTATTGAAGATGTCCTTGTAAGCATATTTTTATGTTTTTTGAATTTCTTCCGTCGTCACACTTCACAAAATTCAAGTCAAACAAACTTGCACCATTGAAACTCTAACATAAAACCGTTGATGCTAAGAAATAGGACCTCACAAGAAAACAATTACGGTTTACAAATGCTTTTGGCTCATGTTCATTATCATAACACACAAATTAAGACACTTTTTTAAGCCTGGATGGGTGTACACTTATTCAAAAAGAAAAACCCAAATACCAATAGACACACTCTCGATTCTCGAATATGCAAAGGGCTAATTATCATCCGTCAACCCGAATTTACCACACATACTTGCAAAATTAACCAAAAATTCATATCGTAGAAACAAATTAAACAATCGTGAAAAGCAATACTTCGTTCACTGATCTTTTCGAACTTTGGAAGCAATACTTCGTTCACTGATCTTTTCGAACTTTGGTCTAAACTAAGACAAACACACATTCACTTAGATCCAATTCAAAATTGTTTCTCAATTGACATTGTAGCAATTCAAAACCCTTTTCCGCATTCTTCTAGGAGCATATGTATTTATTAAAATAAAACGTATTTAACAAAACATTTGTGCATCCTCATAAATGTTTTGTGTATGTTAAATTATGTACTTAACACTATAAACATTATTTGTGAAAAAAATATGATCACATTGCTCATTTAACTTTTTATATAAAGTTTGGAGTATATATGTTACATGTGCAAGTTTGAGATACTTTTTATATATTGTGGAGAATTATTTCCTCACGTCACAATGAAGAAAATGCTATATTTTTTTGCAAGAAAATGCTATTCTGAAAGATAGATGTGAGGAAAAGACTTGCAATCACTCATTTCCGCATGAAGATTACCAAAAACAGCTTATAAGACATGAAAGTTAAGTTACACGTACACGGTGAATGCCATATAAATAAACATTCATAGGGTAGACTTATAAAGATGAAATTGTCTTGATGTGTAACAGAGTAATATTCATAGGGTAGAAATTGATATGAATGCCATATTACTTATATGCCATATTTTATGCCATATAACTAAGCATTAATGTGGCAGATCAATGGTCACCTCTTGGCTTCCTCATGCGATCACCATTGAGATCATTACAAAATAAACCATCACAAACCTTCACCAAAATAGAAACCACGAAAATATAATACTCACTGTAGAAGTCGAATACCAAAGTTTGGTCATTCATTTGTTGGCTCGTGTTTTGAAGCTAAATAGCACGTAGTATAAAAATATATAAAATGATGTTGTAATTAGGATCTTGTTTTGAACCTAAAAATATACTACGTAAAACAATATATAGGACGAAGTTGTAATGATCAAAGTAAACATTAGTTGGCCTAATTTTCGATTGATTGGAGTTAATTTCCGCAGTTTATGGTTTACCTGCCTGGGACCACATATAGCAGCAATGACTTTAGTGTCACCCATTTCAAAGACAGCGGGACTGCAGTGCTACCATATAATTGTAATTTATATACTTCTATATCTTTTCAAAAAAAAGGAGGAAGGATAGAGTATAATATAGCTAGAGGACGTTTTCAGCTCGTGCCGAACTTAAGACAATACAGAAAAAAACATATAATTTCAGCTATAAAAAGATTCAAATAATTAAGGCAATAATTACTCCGTGTATGATGGTCTAGCTTCCTCTATAATGTGAAATGCCTGGAATTTAAGATATTCCAGGAACTCGTAAGACTAAAGCAGCAACAGAAAAGAAACATAGTAGTAGATTAAACACAGTTGATTAAACAGGTGACCACTTTTAATGAATCCAAATATATAATCTAGTGAAAAAGATAGTTGAAAATTGGCATTAAAATATCTCTCCTTTTTTTCAGAAAACTAATGCCAAGAATATTGGTATTGACTAATGATAAAGTTCGACAGGCAGTTTTAAAAAAAGAGCCAGCACCATTACTTGTAGTTTTAGTGTTCCCAAATCATAGCATATACTCTCTCTGACCCATTGGACTTTGTCAACTTTCCCTTTTTTGTTGTCCCCAAAAAAATTCCCACTTTCCCATTAAAGTAACTATTTTGTAGTTCTCCTCATTTCTTTCACCTCTGCACAAACTTTAACCATACAATTTTTACTATTACTATTTCTCACCTAATTCAAAGAGTGCACACTCCATTGGGATGGAGGTAGTATAAAAAGAATAGTTTATTTGATCTTCTTTAAACTTCATTGATTTGAAAATGTTTTTGGAGTTTACTTGTTGGACTGTTAGAAGTTAGAACTTAGAACTATTATTAGAGCAACATAATGCCACAAACATCAGATTAGATAGAATAGATGTGACTATTATAAATTTCAATAAAAAGGCAGTTCATATAGACCAGGTCAAACTCATGTCCAAGGGATAAAAGAAACCTTTTGGAAAAGGAGATTTAGAAGTTGTGAATTTGACTTTAAAGCATCTAAATAATCAGCATTACTTCTAAACGAAGAATTGAGAGAACTTCAAAGTTAAGACCTAGATTGGAAATTCCAAGGCAGGGCTTCACTACTTTTTCAAGATGTCAAGGCAGACTGTTGTTTATGTATATATTGTCTACTTTGAGACAAATACAAATATCTGTAACTTGTAAAAAAAATCTTTGCATTTATGTACCATAAGGTCCATAACCATACCTTTTCCGTAATTGCTGAGTTTGATAAGTCCAATTTAATAGGATCAACTTGTGGGGGCAGCCTTAAGTTCAACGTGATTTCCAGTTTGCCCCTACAGAAACACCACAAGACTTAGGAGTGATTCGTGAAGGATTGAATCCAATTTTTGGATTAAGAAACCAGAATAAAGAATTGAGATAATAAGAAGAGGTCTTATTTCATATTCTATCGCTAGTCGATTGATGTAAATGGTGGTGAAGAAAAAGAAAGTTTACCCTATGGTGGTGCTGGTGTGTAAGTATATCTCCCAGACTCCTAAGCATAGCATGTTCTCCTGTAAATTAAAGAAAAGAACTATTGAGATTAACAAATGATATGTAAAGATATAAAATAAAACTCAGGTAGAACCAAAGCATATTGCAGGTCATCTACTATATTAACAGCAGAGAGATTGATTTTTTTGAAGAAATCAATGTTTAAGTCCCAAAAAATAGGTAAAACGTAGTGATCTTTAGCTTATCATCCTCTTTGGTGGGAAAGTGAAGATTTCAATTCTTGGAATTGGTGCGGATGTGGTCATGAAGGAGAAGAAGAAGGGTCTCAAAGTGAAGATTTCAATCTTTAACGAAATTGCAGGGAATGTTTCTTGGTGCCGGTTGAATTGGAGGGAGTGCCCGGTGAAGAAGAAAAGAGAAGAGGAGAGGAGACGGAGATAGATGAAGGCGGAAAAGAGGAACATCCGAACATATGAATATGAAACATAAGAGAACAGGGAAAAGAATGAACGGTTGAGCATATAATGAATGGTGGAGACATCAAATTGAAAAAGAAACTGAAGAAACGGAAGAAACTGAAGCAAAAATCAGGGGGAGAAAAGAGAGATGTCTGGGAGCAAAAACAGAAGCATTTAATTTAGTTTAATTACCATTATTATACGTGCATATAGGATTTGGTGTGAGAAGCGGGAAAAGTTTTGGGAGAATGGATTCTCCCTTTAGGTATATAGGATTAAAACATTCTTAAGTTGAGTGTGGCACAATAATAATGGATTTAGAACGACACGGATGAAGTAATGTGTGTACACAAACTTAAAGAACTCCGGATAAGAAAATATTTTCCAGAATATTTTGCGCCTAACACACAATTCACAGGAAAGTAATTTTAATTCAGAAATCGTTTTTTTTCTCAACATTTTAATTGAAAAATCATTTTAAAAAATAGGTTGTTTTCAGGGGAAACAATTCAAGCCTAAAAATGGCAAGAAATATGTAGGTTACATTTAAAAGAACAATATGCGATCGTATGAATTATTGTCAAACCCACCATCCTAAAATAACTACCCAGTACGCAAGAAAGAATAACCTGTAAAAAAAATAAAGCTAAAAGTAAAAAAAACTTAACTGTCCCACTCTCTATAATCGTTCCTTCTAGTCTTCCATTTTCAGTTCATGGGCTAGCTCATCACCATCACAGCCATGTTCGATTTACTCTTTGGCTGGAGAAAAGCTTCTAAATGGTAATTCAATTCATTATTATGTCCACGAACTTGTTCTCAATCTTTCTTTGTATATGCAGAGTATATTTTACTTTATATTCTCTAAACTACAAGTTAAAATCATCATTTTATTTTATTTTTTAACTTTTTACCGTTCTTGGTTTAATGGAGTGCGATTTTTACAGCAAGAAATTGATTGGAAGGGTTCAGTGCCGGCTGAAGCTGCTCAAGAACAAGAGAAGTTGCATTGCAAGGCACTTAAGGGAGGATTTGTGTGAGCTTCTCCGAAATGGTCATCATCCTCTTGTCTTTGATAGGGTATGCACATTTTCTTATTCTTAAATGATAAAAAAAATAATAAGATTATTATTATTATTATTGTTATTATTGCTGAAGTAGTTGAATTATATTGCATTATTTTAGGTTGAACACCTGTTTATGGATGAAAATCTGGTGGCAGCATATGATATGTTGGAGAGTTATTGTGAATTTCTCCTCATTAATCTTACCTACATCCGAAAGTACAAGTGAGCATTTCTTATAGGGGCGTAGCCAGGACACTGGGCTAGACAGGGCCAGTACAAAAAATATTATTGGAAAAAAAATTTACACAAATTTTTTTACACTAAAAATATTGACATTTTTCAAATTTGGGGTGGGCCAGGGGCCTAGCCTGAGCACCCCCTAGCTCCACCCCTGATTTCTTATACCAACTATGTTTCACAATTGAGTTTATGTTTTGACTCTTTTATGGCCAAGTTCTCTTAACTTTGACGAAATTTGAACACATTTTGTGTACACACTCCTAGTTTCTCGTGTTTACAGACAGCTCCTGAACGAGCAATTAGGGGTGTGTACATAAAATGTGTACAAATTTCGTGTATAAATAATGTTTTCCTTTCTTATACCAAGTCTGGATTGAATTTAGGTTTTGACTTTATGGCCAAGTTTTGTTAACTTTGACTTTTAAGGATTTAAAATGTCAATCTTTATGGAGAAAATTTTCGTTAATAACATGCTTTAATGTTAGGTATTTATGATTGAAATGTTAAATTATTCGAAATTATATGTTTATGGAGTTGTACTAATCATCAAATGATAGCATTTAAGGTGGTGAAAGTCAAATTGTGAATTAGACTCTATTCATATTTATGATTGAAATGTTAACTTGTTATAAATTTTAAACGTATGTAATTTTATATAGTGAATTAGTGATGTTCAAATGTTAGTATTTAGGACTGTGAAAGTCAAATTGTGAAATTGACTCTACACGTATTGTATGTAAAAAATTATTGACACCAAATAACTTGCCCAACACTTGATGTACTTAAACAAAAAAAAAAGATGTGCTTAAACTAATTGTGACATTGTGTCTTAGAATTTTTTGTTGTTACAGAGACTGTCCAAATGACATTAATGAAGCAGTTTCAACTCTCATATACGCATCAGCAAGATTGGGGGACCTACCGGAGCTTCTACCAATTAGGAAGCTCTTTGCACAACGTTATGGTCAGAGATTTGCAAGGGTGGCTCTTGAGCTTCTCCCCGGCAATCTCGTCAATACTCAGGTTTAATTCATGTTTCAGTCTTTCGGCGATTCAGTAACATTCTTATTGTGAGTTTGCACAACGTTAAAGAACGGAGGATAGTATATAATAATTAATCATGCACATAACACAATGAAATACTACGTAATAAATTCAACATTTCTGAAATTACACTTCTTATTGAAATGGTTGACCATGAATTGAACATAAAGTTGTCAAGCTAGCCAAATTATGTAAAGGTATTGTGTACTAAATACTTTTGTTTCATTTGACGATTCAAAGTTATTTTTACACAATATTAGATGTATGATTAATCATAACACAGACTATTTTGATGCACATTTAAATGACATGAACTAATGCATATCACTGACGTTACACAAACGGATTTAGTGCATTAAACTCATATCACTAGTTAGTCATATTTTTGGAATCACCACATGTCCGGGTTTTTTTACAAGAATATTACTAAAATAAAACATATTTACATAAATATGACTATTCATTACTACAATGTGGCGTTGTGATAACTTAAAATCAAAACTTGAACATGAATTACTATGATTTCATCACTACTCTAGTCACTAGTCATATTTTTGTAAATCATCTTTATTTTGATCATACTTATGTTACAATTTTTTGTAACATATTTTTGTTCATACTTATTTCTGTATAAGTCATATTTTTGCAATTTTCTATGATTTAGAGTCATAACATTACAGAAGTTACACTTTTATCTACGGAGTATTAATTTAACTGACTATTGTTCTCTTTCGTACAAAACTACAAAAACAGATTAAGGAGTGCCTATCCACCAAGTGTGTAACGGATGAAGTGAAGTGTAGGCTAGTGGAAGAAATATCTCGAAGTTGCTTTCAACAAGGGCCCTTGCTGTTGGGTTACACTTCGGAATGGCAAAAGCAGGTTAGATAAGCCACGTTATGTCACATACTCCGTATGTTATACACTTAAACGTAGTAACTTATAATGATTAATTTTGTGTCGATATTATCGTCTGATTGATTAGTTTGACTATTAAGTGTGTTTCAAATTGATTCAGATTCTGATTTTTTTTAAAAAATAGAAACATAATCGAAATTAGTTTTTCATAAGACCCCAATTTCTAAAAAATTGCTAGTACTTCTATACTTCGTTCATATAGTAAAAACTCAAAAGTACTTTTACACTTTTATCCAAACACTTCACTATCCGCTTCTACTTTTTGAAGAAGCGAAAACAGTTTTAAGAGGTAGATCCAAACACCCATAAATTACCACATTTATAATATATTTTATTAGTCAAGTGAAGAAATTAGTACGCAGTACTAGATAAAAAGATGAAATAAGCATCTTCTCCAAATTCCGCGGTAAAAGTATCTCCACTTTAATTGATTATGGCTGATACGATTGAATAGATAAGCTCTAGTTTATTATGAAGTAATTGTATATCAAATACGTGGTACGTTTCTATTAGTAATTTAAAAGTTAGTTGAAAGAAGGTGAAGATAAATGATGGATGGTTGGAATCCAAACATATAATTTAGAAATACAAGAACATCTTCAATACTTCACTTATGTGGCACGAGAGATAACACATAAATATTATGAAGTATCAAATAAATTATCTTTCTCCTTATTTGAATGATTTTATACGATTTTGGTAAGTTTTTCTCGACAATGTCAAGAAGACCGTCTAAATGTTGACATTGTTAACTCTACGATTTCTTAAGTTTCATTGTTGTTTGATACGGAGTAATATTTTTGTGACTATCTCTGATTCTCTCATGGCACATTGCACCGTGCACAAGAGAAGAAGCGTGTTATGTGTAGTGTATTATTTAGAGTTTGTGTATGAATGTGTTCAAGAGTTTACAAGTTATTTATAGAAAAATGTAGGTTGGGTTGCTGATATGGGTCCATAGACCCGATTAGGCCACTCCACAAAAGGGTTAATCTCTGTCTTGCTTTAAAACAAGGCACGGTGCTTGACTTTTGTGAATCTTCGAATCAAAATTGAACGATCTCAGTCTTGCAGATCTTGAGATTCACATCTCAAAGTGTCATTTTTTCATGAAATGATCCCTCTGACGAACAGTAGAAGATCTCGATCCGGATTAATCTAATAGATCAAATGAATAAATTAACCTCTACATTATTGTTTCTACTTTAAAAATGAGTTTTTAAATGGCAGGAAAAGAGAGCAAATGAGAAACCTCAAATCTTCAAAAGTAGTGCTGAAGATTTTGACGAAAAAGATGAGCAAAGTAAGTGGTGCAGGGCTAGTTTGGGGAAGATGAACCAGGAAATGGTTGATGAAATTGCTGAATTCGAGTCCAATAATGGCACCATTGATCAAAGACTCTTCTTGTTCAAATCGCCTTGCCTTCTCACCTTCATTGTTTATAACAAATGTAATGTTGATGAAAACGAAGAAGAAAAGAAATTCATTTCAAAGGCTGCTGCTTTATCAATAAGTGAAGATCAAAAGGAGATCAAATGTGGAGAAAATGGGAAGAGGAAACAGAATGGGCCGCCACCGCCGCCGTATTTGAGGGCGGCCGGAGTTTCTATGCCGCCCGAAAGGCCCAATGAAGAGAGCCTATTGGATAGCATCGCCCGGTCCATTTCATTCCCGGACCATGTCCATCCTAAGCTTCCCGATTACGATGAAATATCAGCCAAATTCATGGCTCTCAAGAGAGAGAAAATCCGAAATATATAAATTCATGCTTGTAATTATTAGATCATTTTCATTTTTGTGTCTGCAATTTTACTTTTTAGCTCTCAGACTATTATTCTTAACCATTTTTTTATTTGTTTGTTAATTGATTTTTATGTCCAATCATCATTTTGATATTGTGGGTTATACATATATCAGTTCAGGAATTTGTAGTTTATCTCTAAATCTACTTTAATTTGGATTGTGTATTTGTGTGTGATATAGGATCAATTAATCTCAACATGCATGCATGATGCATGAGCTCGTGGGGGCCAAGTGGCCAACCCATCCCGATTGTCAAAAAGCCTAGCTCAACCCATAAGGGTCATGGGTCGGTCTGGCCCAATATTTAAAGAGGTGGGCAAGGGACAAAACATTTAAAACCAGGCCTGACCCATTGATCCGGCCCGTCAAAAGCTATACCCGCCTGGCCTTGTTAGCTCACCTGAGCCCAACCTAGAAGCCCTTTACCAACTACTTATTAATTTTATATACTAGTTTTATAATTTGTAGCATATACTCCGTATAAAAGTATTGACTAATAAAAATTGATTCAGTAATTTGCTTAAAAGATTGGACATTGTCAAGAACTAAGATGTAAGAAAAGGCAATTTTGGATCAAGAAGGGCAATATGATACAGGTCCAAGACCGGACCTGTACTCATACAGTCGAGCTAGATTACTATTAAGTTATAAAAGTTTGTGATAGAGTTTGAGAAGCTTGAACATCTCTATTTCAAGAGTACTACCAAAAATTTAAAAATAGGTCATTTTGAACTATAATTTTATTATTACATTATTTGGAATACAAATTCTTTTTACTAAATAAATAATTACATTTTATTTTGAGAAAAGAAACAAATATACTCCTGTAGTATGAGTGTGGGAATAAATATATATATGTTCTATTTTTTGGAATAAATATAACTTTGAAGTTTATGTGGAAGTGCATATATACCCCTCAACTTTTAAAATGTGCAAAAATACCCTTCGTGTTCCTATAAATGAGCAAATTTGCCCTAATTGACTTTAAACAAATGAAATAAATCTTAAAAACACCAAAAAAAATTATAAATTTGAAATCTAAAGGAAAAAATTAAAGAGTTAAAAATAAAGACTTACCTATATGTTGAAATATTAACTCTTTAATTTTAAATTGAAAAAATATTATATCCTGTTGTGATATAAAAATAATAAAAGGGAGATTGGACACAAGTAGATTTTAATTTTTATAGTATTTTTCAACTTCAATTTTATAATTTATTTTTAGGATTTTTTGAAATTTATTGTATCTATTTACTGTCGATTAATGTAACTTTGCTCCTTTATAGGAACATGAGGGGTATTTTTGCACCATTGTGATACATAAAAAAATTGAATTTTTTGTAAGCACCCAGCTGGGCCCATTCCTATTAGTTACATGTGGGCCAGCCCGTGCCCATAGGCCATAGTATATAGACGGTTAGGGCTGCATTTTGTTTACAAAACCCGGCCTAGGTGGCCCAACCTAGCCCGTTGATGATCGCTATAGTAGGGCAATTGATAAAAAGTTCTTTATCAAATAAAGGATGAAAACTTTAGTAAAGGAAAACAAATATATATCTCATTTTTTTAGTTTAAAAAATGATTTGGTAAACACATTTTCCAGTTCTTTTCTCTTCAGTTTTTCATTGATTTTTTTCAACAAACACATTTTCATGTCTCCTTTTTCTTATTTTCCTCTTTTCTGAAAAACTGAAAAATATCTCAAATCAATAAACAACCTCTAAATGTCTGGTGTTTTTATCGAACAAACTGATGGGTCCACTAAAATATTTGGACTTAGCCCGATGTAGTATTCGAAATAGGCCCATTGGTGTTATTAATTAATTGAAACTAAATGGGCTACGTCCAGAAGCTAAATAGCCCCAGGAACCGAATTAGAGCGGCGTCACTACAGAGATAACCAGGGCGTGAAGAATTAGGGCGGCGTTCAACACCACCGATGGTTAGACTTTCTTTTCATGCACGAACATTGTTGAATAAGTGTTTTTTTTCTTTGAAATGATATCATTCTCTTGCTTTCCAACTAATGCCTTTTTATTTCGTACTTACTGTAATACTTTAGAAATTAGCTAGATAGTCTGGGGTTTTTCTTTTTCTTTAATATATATTAATTGCTAATAATATATTTTTTAATGCATGTTGCTTGATAATTACATTTTGCTTTACACATATGTATTATGTGTGCATGTATATACAGGCAGAAAAAGATGTGAACCCTAAAGCTTATCCATTGGCCGGGGCAGAACTCACCATAGTTATACATGACTTGGTAGCACAAGCTGCCAACTATAAGCAGCTTAAGAAGGGTGCTAATGAAGGTTAGCTGTTATGTTTTTTAGTTTTACCATTTTATATCAATTTGACATTATTGTTTTTTAATCTGTAATCGTAATATGTTCTAATTCGTTTCAGCTACTAAGACACTAAACAGGGGAATTTCTGAGTTTATTGTGATGGCTGCTGATACTGAACCACTTGAAATTCTTCTTCACCTTCCACTTCTTGCTGAGGATAAGGTATTACCTCTCCCTCTCTTGCAGTTTAAATGTTGATCTTTCTCATCTTGTCTAGTTGTCTGTGTGACATAGTTGACATTGCCAACTTAAGGTTTTCTCAGGTGGCCTTCAGGTCTCAGCATGGAAAGGAAACAATGTTTTCCCCTGTCTATAAATCACATTGAGCCTTTTCACCTATAATGAATCAAATATTCAATGCCTTTTTCATTTAGATCATTGACAATATCTAATGCTTTTTAGGCAATACCTTGCTTGTAAGCCGAGTATGTAACAATTAAGCTATACTTCTGCTGGCAATAGCTCTATTATTGCTGTCAGTAGCGCCTTGGCCTTGTTTTGCTTGGTACCAGAATGTTGGAATCTATCACATGAAACTTCTGGAAACCAAAAGCCATGCAAAATTTGGTTTTATTTTTATGCAATTAATTTTTATGATTTATTCATTTTATGAAGAACAAAAACATTCTTATTTATAGAAACCAGTAAATAATTTGGATATAGACATTTGAATATGTGAATATATGAAATAGAATGACAATTTTTTGTGAGGTTTTTGAGGAATAATAAATGGGATTACTGATATTTCTTACATACTGATTCGTACATCCTGATATTTTTAAAATATTTGTATTTTTGCAATACTTTTTGGTGTTTTGAGATGCTCTTCTGTTCACCCCTCTATATTGATAGCAGATCTCCAATTTGTAATTTAAAATGTTGGTTTTTAAATTATATATGTATATATTATATATATCATGATATTGTCCTGTTGGTTGTATAAGAAAACAGGTAACACTGTTAGTGGTACTGCTTGATTGTAGAAGAAAAAAAAGGAAATGGTTTTTATTAGCGTGGTTTCCTGTTTTCAAAAGCTCTGAAGCAAAACCACCCTTGCCTAGTTGCTATAAACACAATTCTGTGCTCCGTATTGTGTCGGTATCCTTAATCTCCTAAAATGACCTGCTACTAGTTTTCTGTTTAATTGTGCTATTCCATATAATTCCTAGTCTCCTAAAGTCCTACAATACAAAAACAGTATTAATAATAGAATAATAGTATTGAATATGTTATGAGAGTAGCCTTCTTGCAGAATTTCTGAATGGGTTTCCAACGTTTTTGTTGCCCTAATCAGGCTTTTCTGCTTCTGTTTTTAGATTAATATTTCAAAATGCATCATTCCAATCTATTTTAACCTATTTTTTCTGTGCCATGCCCTCAGAATGTCCCCTATGTGTTTGTTAAATCCAAAGAAGCTCTTGGCCGAGCTTGTGGCGTTACTCGACCAGTGATTGCTTGTTCGGTTACAAGCAATGAGGGAAGCCAGTTGAAAGCTCAAATAACTGAACTTAAGGTATATCTAAAGCTGCAAACTGCTTATCCAATTTCTTGTTTGCTCCGTGTTAACAAGTGACTAAATCATTTCTTTTTTATTTTTATTCTTGTGTGCTCAGAATGCCATTGAGAAGCTTCTCATATGAATGCCTAGTAACTTCAGCATGATGGGCCTCATGGATTCTCAACAGAATTAGCTGAGGCTTTGACTGGACAAGTTGTTTATTCAACATTACTCTTGTGTGTTTGTTTGTTTATTTGTTTAATTTACTCCATGTTAAGAAAGATTGATAATCATGTAGTTTCTTCCTGAGTTCCTGTCATTCTGTATTTGTTTTCAACGGTTATTGTTATTGTTTTTTCTTTTATAATGTTCTGCATTTATTAACCAAAAAACATCCTTTGCCTTCCCTTTCTATTGATCTGAAAAATTGTGAGATTAAAGATTGATTTGGCTAATTTTATTGATATACTTCAACACTTGCCAGCGACATCATGACACATATTTTCGATGCAATTATGAACTTGTCACACTGACTCACACGCCAAAGATTTCCTTCACCTCTCTAAACTATTTGAACACAGCGTTTTGTGAATTTTTTCATAACAATGTTTTCAAATTTTACATAATTACATAAATATAATCAAATGCCGAGGATGCCATAAATATTCGCACAGCAGTTCTGATTTCTGAGGTACTATGACAAATTGGCAACCAAACATTGAAGTGAAAAGTTGAAGAATATCAAATTTGCATTTCCGAAAGGTTAACTTCAAAATTTTGACATGGATACCTTATTTTTGAATGAATGGCTTGGTTACTTACTAGTTTACATTTTAAAAGAGCATAGAGTTGGGTTTTATTTGAAGAAGATGACGTTCATTCACTTGATCCTAGTATAATTTTAAATGTTAAAATTGCTTGACAAGTGAGAGTGGTTCAAGTGTATCACATTTCACACTTAAGATCCCTTCGTGGGAGATGTCTTGAGTTCAAATAATATACTCCGTATTCTTGATTGTTTGGAAATTGCAACCTAGTCACTAGTGGTGGACTCGGGCCGGGTGGCAAGACCTGGAACCGGACCTGGCCCGGTACTGTTAGGCCCGGCCCGACCCGGTGGCCCGTCCAGGGACCGGTCCGGGTAGGCCCGGACCGGGGGGTTTTCTGGTGCGGGCTCGGGTCAGGAAAACAAGGAACCGGCCCGTTCGGACCATAATTTTTTTTTTCAATTTTTTTTGAATTCCCGGGTTGGGCTGGGTATTTTGGGTCATTTGGGGTGGTTTGGGGGTTGGGGGGAGGGGGGGGGGGAGGGTTGGGGTTAAGTAGAAAAAAGAAAAAAAAATAGAATTTGGCCCGAGGTCCGACCTGGACCCGGGGGTTACCCAGGCCAGTTCTGGGCCTACCTCCCAACTTCTAAAGCCCGACCGGGCCTAGGCCCGGCCCAGGTCCATCACTACTGGTCGCACATTGGGCCATCTTGAAATTGGTTTCCTTTGTCAATGGTTTATAACTACTCCTCAAGCTATTTTAAATATGTAGTTAAATTCTTTTGATGTGTATTTTTAAGAGCTTTGTTAAATGGAGTCATCTACAACAAGCTCTGAATCATAATACTCCGTAGTTGTTATTGGGAGTGAATGAATTCTTTTGTGTCAATCCTCCCTCACTCCGAAGATCCTGGGAGGTGAGTGTTATACAACAACTACAAACATCATATTCAGGGGCCATTTTAGGATTACGAGCGACTCAGGGGCACATGACACTGATCAACAAGCCCTTCTTGTCAAGATAATCTATTAGTACGAAATTGCTCCTTAATAATGTACGATAAAACGTTGAGGCTTAGTGGCAAACATAAACCACCGAAACATTAGGGAGTTGGGTACGGGTATTGATGTAGTTGATAAGTTCTTTATGTGTTGTTGATGGTGTATAGGTTTGCACTTCAATCAAACATTGAGGAGCCCCTTCTTTATGAAACATTTCCATGCCAAAAAGGGTCTCCTAGAGGTCAAACCATCAACTATCACCATCATCTCAAATTGGTCCGCTATATGCCAACCTCTACTCTTTAAGGTGGCCCAACATCAACGTATTCCATGTGATCCTGAATTTGAGGAGAGCCTGCACTGAAGTACCCACCCTTACGTTTTTGGATCTTGGTTCACCATTTCCCTCTTTAAAATGATCTCTTTTTTTATGTACATTGAAAAGGAAAATACGAATAAAAAATCAAAATCTAATAGTCTCTAATCCATTAGTATCCTCCCAGAGAAAAAGGTTAATCCAAGCAGGTGCATCTGACAACATAGTTAGCCTCTTGGGAGCTTGATGCGCTGCGTTTGCCAATCTGTTTGCACAATCATTCCCCTCCCGAAAAGTGTGTTGTATTTGAATAAATCTTTCTTCTGCGAGAAGCTTCTGGCAGTCCCGAATAAGCACTCCCATAGTATTAGTATGGTTTCCATCGCTTTGCTTCACAGCTTTAATAATATGATCTCTTCTTTGCGACACAATGCTATATTTTGAGTCTACAAGGTCAACATTTTAGAGTATGTCCACCAAACAGCTAACCAGCGACAAAACTTTCATTAATGGTGTTAGCAAATTGGAAATAATTCAACAATGTGTGTAATACGAATCCTAATGTGAGTAAATAGGCATTAGGAAATAGATCATAAAATTAGAGACCTACAAAGAAGAGCGAACATTTCTTTGTCTGAATCATTTTGATCTTCATTGTTCAACCTACCCAAGATCTTCAAAGGGCATAAATTCAGCCAAAACATCAGCGTACAAACTAAGCCCTATAGAGAGGGTGTTAAACCTTGGAACTAAATTAAAAAGGTAGTGAACTTTATTAATAATATTGTTCATTATTTTTTCTGGAATGAACTTCACATTAATGAGATTTTAATGAGAGTAAAAAGAAATGAACTAAATAAGACTAAAAGACATACAAATAGATCACGACTTTCGGTACGTGTCATAAATTGTATATTTATACTATCAATATCTGTCATAATGTATCATCAAGCTAAATTATCATCATCAATGTCATATTATGTTGACGGTAGAACAAATGATTGTGTTCACGTGATAAGCATATTGACTCACTAAGAATTACACGTGAAAAAATGTGGCCTTTCCACATTAATTAATGTGTATACAAGTATTTTACACATTGTACAAGAATAACTATATATGAAATCATAATGATTTCACTGTGAAGTCATGGACTTGTGCACTTTCATTACTTTCATTATGATCATTTCTTTTTATATGAGATTATCAATTATTAATTCATTAAAACATGAGTGACCATCATGAAGTCGATCAACTACAATGGAATGATATAAATAAATTGTTCTTAATAGGATTAAACTTAAACATAAATGTATAAATCAAATTCAATATTCTTTTCATTTCTTAAACAAGACTAAACATTATCTTTCTACGCCTAATATAATTAATTAATATACATAACTACCCCTAGTTTCCTTGTATAACTAAGATCAGTTTGTGGCGGTGATTGGTGGTGGTGGCAAACCACGGCTTCTGGTGGTGGATTCTAGCGGCAGCAAATTTCTGGAGACCAGCTGCAGCGGCGACCAGCATTGGCAATATGGCATCAACAAATTTCTGACGACAAGCAGCACTCGTGCAGTCGGCAGCAAGTGGTGAAAGCAGGTTTAGGGTATCTTGTCCAAATAGACATGATTGCTCCTCCTACTTGGAAAATTTAAAGAACTAAATTTCATTTTTTGCATTTGACTCATGTTTAAAGGATTTCATAAACAAGTTGTACAAATTCCCAACGTAGAGAATGGTTTAAGCTAGGGGTGTAGTGGTGTACTGTGAACATAGCGGTTAGGTTTAACTGAATCGAATCGTATGAAATCGAACTAATCTGAACTGAACTCGATATGTAATTTGATTTGAATTTGGTATTAAATCGAATGAAAACCAAAACAATCTCAAATAAAATCAAAGAGACTTAAAGTAATTCAACAAAACCTTTAAAAAATTTATATCCGAATAGCTCAGCAATAAAAGGAGCGCGTTAAATTTGGAATATTGGAACACCAATATGATGCGGCCGGGGAGCAGACTCCGGTACCTATTTCCAATCCTCCAAATTCAATCGAAACGCCCTTTTTTCTACTACCAAATTATCTACGCGTTTTCCATCTCTCTCTTTCACTCTGTTTCTTGTTGAATTTACTTCGTCAAGAGCATGACTTTGCCATCTTCCTCTTACTAACTTTCTTTGATTCCACTCGTATGGTGTTATTTCTTCATCCCCTTCCAGATCCATAGCAGTGTGAGATTTTGAGAATCACACCACTGGACTGCCGGAAAATGAAAACGCCGGCGATGGAGCTAACGGGTTCTGAAAGGGCGCAGCAATGGAGGTCAGTGGACTCCATGTCCGATCGGCCTTTCAAGAAAATCAAAAGCTCTGCTTCTCCCCTCTGTTATTCTCCTCCGAATCTTTCTCCTCTGTTCGGATTTGAAGGAGGAATAAAGTCAATGGAGAATTTACGGCTGCTGAATTTGCAAATGCTCTCTTCCTCATATCAGCAGGGTGATCCTTACCCACCTCCGCCGCCGCCGCCGCCGGCATATTTTTCCGGTGACCCGAACTCATTCCCGGAGCAACGCCAGAATCAACCTGCTACAAAAGTGTACAGGGGAGTGCGGCAGAGGCACTGGGGGAAATGGGTGGCGGAGATTCAGCTCCCGAAAAGCAGGGCGCGAATCTGGCTCGGGACCTTCACCACCGCCGAGGAAGCCGCCATGGCTTACGACCGGGAAGCTTATAAGCAGAGAGGAGAGAATGCTCGGCTCAACTTCCCCGAACTCTATCTTGGCTGCAATGACCGAGATGCAGCATCATCCGTGGGTCCCAGATCGTGTGAAAACAACGCGCCGGTGGTTTGCACAACGCTGCCGCTTGCGGCGGAGGTGGTGGAGCCGCGGCCGCTGCTTAGCCAAGCAGCATCTTCCAGTCATTCTTCTGAATATGTGTGGGCTGGTTTAGTAAATGGAATTGGAGGTGGCTTGCGCTGAGGAATTTTAACTTTGGGTAACCTATGTTGCAGTTAATGATAATAATATCATGATCACCATCATCAGCATGATAATAATACGTAGTACTCCCTATTAAGGATGTTTTTACTTGGACTGTAATTTGCCCCAGACCAGTTCAGACCAGACCAGACCAGTTCAGACCAGACCAGACTTCGATAGTTATAAAAATACAAAGAAACCAGACCTTACCAGACCAGATTAGACCAGACCAGACCAGCAAATTACAGTCCAAGTAAAAACATCCTAAGAGTAATACTACTATTCTTAATGGACTTTACACTTCCATTTCACACATAATTCGTATTAATAAAATAAATTTGACTTTACTGTATATTACACTGTTGTGACATTTTTTGACACTGTTTTGTATCGTGTTGTGTAAATTTGTTTGCCAAATAAGGCAAACAAGAGAGCGGAAAGTTTAATATGAGACTGTCCAAAAAAGAAAATGTAAAGTTAATTAAGAACTGGGGGTATTATTATTATTATCATGTTATTAACAACCACAGTAACATTAGTAATACTCCATCTTTAAAATTTTAGCATTGTTCACTTTTCTTTTATGAATTTTTTTAATACTCCCTATTAGTTATTCTCTTCATATTTGAAATTTTTTTCTCTTTTCGTTTTATTGAAAGAAATTTAGATTAGTACTGACAGATATTAAATTTTATTATTTCGATCTGAAAACTTAATAGTTAATTCTAGTAACTATTTTGGGAATCGTGTTCATTTGTTAAAGAGATCGGTTCAAAATCAGAGGCTTGCGTAGCGTATGAGACAATTTCACGATGTATTAAAAGTCAAGTAGCTAATGAGATTATTCTCTTTTCATAGTTCCACCTTTCTTTGCTAATTTCTGGTTTCTTATGGGGTATAATTTATAACTATGTATTTGCTTTTATAATTTTATTACTCTTTCTTATTTCTTACACACTATATAATACTCGGTATTTATTACTTTTATAACTTCGATCTTAATTTTAGTAAAATGTGCTACAACATCATGTAAAATTGAAGAGGCTATTATGGAAATTAAATCAACTTATTTTTCAACTTCATGTCATACACACTATGTGATTTAGAACTTGACAGATACAATTACTTGTGCAATTGTTCAATTCATGATATGGTCCAATTTTGAAGACCGTAGATTGATGTTCAGATGGAACAGTAAATGTTGATCAAATTTATTTTAGTTTTTTTTTTGGATAAAAAAAAGGATGACACCCCATCCCTGAGGGCCCCCCACCACCGACCGGACGGCACGATGGGAGGATGTAAATTGGACTATAATCACAATCTGACAGATAGAGAGTGGGGCTCTGTCCCCGGTACTTGCAGAGACCCTATGCATTTTTCAGCATAGTAACCCCTCATCGCAGTTGCCGGGATTCGAACCCGAGACCTAACCCTTGTGGCACTCCCTTGCTACTAGTTGAGCTACGCCCACCGGTATCAAATTTATTTTAGTGTTTTCTCATTAGGTAGAACTAGAACTAAGGATGTTTTATACATAGTATTGGACTGTTTTCAGTTCCAGACCAGACCAGAACATACTTAAACAGATCAGACCAGACCAGACTTAAACAGACCAAATCAGACCAGACCAGACTTCCGTAGTTATAAAATACACAGACCAGACATTTATCAGACCAGTTCAGACCAGACCAGACCAGACCAGACCAACAAATTTCAGCCCAAAAGAAAACATCCTAATACGGAGTAATAATTTTTCAACGTTTAGTCTTAATTATTTTCATTTAATCTTGTAATAGTTACACTCACTCGATTATTCCTACTATTCTAGTGAAATACGGAGTACAAAAAACTTTTTGTTTCAATCTTGATTGACCATCTTATTACGGATCGGAGTACTCCGTATTTTATTTGCCTCTTATCATGATACACTTGTACAATATCCATCTGCTTTGATCTATTATAAGGTAAGGTTTTCATGTTAAGCGTCGATCAATTTCAAAAATTCAAAAATAGGACTATCATGTTTTTTATTCACGGAATAGAAGTAAATTTCTACTAAGTTTAAAATTACTAGGTTTTAGACATGACATTTTTTTCCCAAACTTGGCAGATTACTCCTATTCAGGAAATTAAAAATATGATAGTTCTATTTTGAAATTTCAAAACCTTTTTACTCCTATTTAGGGAATTTGATCTCTCTTCATTATGTTTATTTTTACGAAATTCCTTCCTTAATTGTTTAACATTTTGCAAGTTTCATCTCCCATTGAATATTACATTTATTGGCGTTAATTATTGCTAGACTAGAATGTTAGGGCTCAAATTTGTAATGTCCATTTTGCCTCTGAAGTAATAATGTAAGCTAAAGAGGAATACAAATATACCCATCAATTTTTTGTCCATAGAGCACACAATTAACTAAAATACTCTTTGGAACAATTAATTTATAGAAACCATTTTGCTCAACTGTGATTCTTTCCTAAAAGTCGATGAAGAAAATGAAGGCACGAATAATTTATTCCATGTATTTTGAATTATCTATTTGATGATTTCATTCAAGACTTTTGTGGGATCGTCGTAATCAATGAATGGCATGAGATGAATTGAAGAAGGCCTTCTCCAAGTCGTGGTTGTGAAAAAGAAGCCATCAAAGATGACATTTTGTGTACTCCCTCCGTCTCATATTTAACTCCGGTTTTGACTGGGCACAAGTTTTAAGATAGTGAGATTTATGTGGTGGAAAGTTATGCAGATGAAAGAGAAATATATAAGAATGTGTAAGAATGGTTTGAATCAGATAACTTTAGAACAAAGAGTATATTATTTTATGATAGATTTGACGGAACATAAGTGAAGAGAGGTATTCTTATACCCAAAATTAGTAGGCTTGTGCACGTTTTTGTACCAAAAGAATTGTTCAATAAGTTAATGAAATGAGTAGGACTTTAGGTATTTTTGTTATTGAAATTACTAAAATGATAAAATTGGGATTTTCAACCTAAATCATTCTTATCAAGTACCAATCGTTGTTACTATTTTTAGTCTTTCGACGTTTATGTTGGTGACATAGTTGGTACTTGAGCTTGAATTTTTTCACTTTTGTTCTTTTGACTATTATTGATTCAGAATTTCATATAGACTTTTGGCATTTGAATTTGAAATTTTGTATATTAACTCCTACTTAAAAAATGAAATATTTAGTTATTCCACTAACTTTTTTTCAAATTGATAATAGTAGAAGAGTAAAAAATATGATGTTTACAATAGTGAAAGGACTAAATGTGAAATTATTCAGAACAAATTATCAAAGGTGTTCTTGGAATAATATTTGAAATGCTAAATATAGATACTCAAAATACATAATAAGAAAAGTTTCCAGAAAATTAAAATTGGCGAAAGCTTAATTAAGTTCAAAACTTTGCCTCCACGATGTGTTTGAATTTCACCGTAAAACTTCGACAAGGAAAAGTAAAAAATATAATAATGATGTGTTTGTATGCCGCTGTGTATACGCCATTGTAAACAATGAGTTTTTGTCGGTGTTACTGTATACAAACATTTTTTTTCATTTTATGGAGAGAATTGCGTGTCAAACTAACAATTTTTTTTTTCTGTGGCATTGATTTTTTTATTGATGTGACACACAATTCTCTACAAAATAAAAAAATAAATGTTTGTTTAAAGACGAAAATCCAACGTGCACAATTGTGTATACAAGCCGGCGTGTAAAGGAGGTTAACTCGAATTACTCGATGACCTCATTTAAGTATTTAACCAGCTATGTAGAACGCATAGAAGGCCTTGGTGCCAAGTAGCATGTGATATGAGACTTAACTTTTGATCTGCTAAAGTTATATGAGACATAACTTTATAGATTGAGCATATGTAAAGGTATTTATATAGGGAAAATAAAAATACTATTTAAATGAGACATAACTTTATAGACATAACTATTTAAATACACATTCAAATTAAAAAAATACGGAGTACTCCGGAGTATATATAATAAAGTTAGAAACTAAGATTTACAACAAAAAAAAAGTCCTTAGCTGAGCGATGACAGGCCATCTTACGCCTAACTTGCTTAGGGAGCCTTGATGTTCCTATTTTTTTGTTTTATTTTTATTTCTTATATACTACCTAGTACGTACTTCGTATGAGTTTAACATTACTTCGTATTACTATGATATTTTGAAATACTACCGAGTACTACGTATGTTTTATAGCAAAATTATAGATATTATAACAATTACTAGGAAACTGTACATAAAATAAGAGGTTTTTTTTAGTCTCTAAAAAAGTTCAAATAAATTATAACTATTTTTAGTAGATGAATATTAAATTAAATTTTATAGGAATAAAATTATTATTGATCAAATGACGTTTTTAGGACAAAAGCAGAAAAATGAATTAGAACATGAATCAATCATCTAGGACCACTAGGGATGTTTTTACATGGATTGCTTTCAGTCCCAGATCACACCAGCTAACTAGACCTGAATTTCTTAGTTATAAAATACACAAAGACCAGACGTTTATCAGACCAGATCAAACTTAAATAGATCAGACCAGACCAGATCAGACTAGGAAATTTTAGTCCAAGTAAAAACATCCTAGATAGTGCATGTCTACTCATCTAGGCGTCAAGTCCAATTTTCAAGCCTATTATATAGAAATTGAGATAATCGGTCACCGCCTAACGTCTAGAGGGGGCCTAAATGGGCGCCTAGACCAATTGTAAAACAATGTTGAAAATACATTTCACTATTTCATCATGAGCATCAATGTACCTATAAGGCTATAATCCTATATAAATGAATCGTACTTGGTGTACACGTTTTGGTATACATCTTTCGTACATTGTGTGCCTTATGTACACAGAGTTGTCTGTTGTACAACTCCGTGTGCATAAGAAAGACATGTGTACAAGAGGTGTACAAGGAACTCAACATTTTCCCTATATAAATACCTTTACAGCTCATATTGGGCTCGGGAGGAATGCTATGGCCGGCTTCACTACATGATCAAATAGTTTTGCTCTAGAGGTAATTCTGGATTGGAGATTCCGTAATCCATTAATCTGTTATTTCATTTAGAGGTAGAAGGTTTCAAGTAAGAAGCCTCAACAAATAAACACAAGATATAAAAGTTTGTAACTTTTTGGTCTATAGATTGAGCATTTAATTCAAAACCATGTATATATATTCTTATTATTGTATAATTATTTCCTTTTTTAATTTATTATGTAAAAAAATCATAGAAAATTTCAAAAGAAAATCTTTTTACCGACCTAATCCTAGCTATGACCTGTCTGGCTGTCTAAATATAACGTAGTCGGGTAAGCTGTGACTGGGTGCATAGTACGTAGTATTAATTACTCTGTATTAATTTCATCAAAAAAAAAAAATTACTCTGTATTAACTAATAGTCTAATACTCCTATTGTATAAAATATTAATATACTTTTGGTGCTGGACCTAGGAAAAAACTATTTTAGTACCTTAAGAGCCCGTTTGGTAGCACGAAAATCGGCTAGTTTGGATGATTCTGCTGAAATTTCTGAAACTCTGGCTGAAGTGGCTGCATTGGCTGATTCTGCTGATTTAAGAAAAA